CCAGCCAGTCCCCGAGCAGCGGCCCCCCCTAGCCAACTCCCCCCAGTTTATGTACTGAGCATGACGTCACATGGTATGGAATGTCCCTTGGGCCAGTTTGGCTGTGCCCCCTCCCAGCTCCTTGTGCACCTCCAGCCTTCTCAGTCGGTAGAGCACGGGAAGCTGAAAAGTCCTTGGCTAGTGTAAGCACGACTTAGCAACAACTGAAACATCGGTGTGCTACCAACATTGTTCTCACCCTGAATCCAAAACACAGCGCTGCACCAGCTACTAGCAAGAAAATTAACTCTATCCCTGCCGAAACCAGGACAACATCGTAGCTTGCAAGAGACAGCGATGGACTTCCTGCCGTATAACATACTTGCAGCTTTACATGCAGTTGTCAGATTTTTATTTTTTTTAAATGGGGCAGGGTAGAGAGGAGGAGTGAGGCTGGGATGAAATTTAAGCTGTAGAAACTGCCACCTACTGACAAGTGCTTCAGGCCTTCACCACTGAGTATCTTTCAAACTCGCTCATGTATGGCAGTCAGTTCATTGATCTGTTAGTAAAAATAAGAATACCAGACCCTAAACACCTTTCTCTCTGAAAAGAGAAGGCATAGCACAAACTGGTAGCTTGTGGAGAAGATTCATAATAAAGTCATCTTTTCAGGCCCGTTTTTAGGCAGGGAACTTGGGAACAGTCAGTCTTTTGGACTTGACTTTTATAGTCTTGTCAACGTCACAATGACTTTGCTTGTTTTGCTCTGACTGCATTTAATAATGCTGCCTGCTAAAAATATTACACTGCCTTCCTAATGTGCTGCCTTTAATGTGGCCTGTTGAGAGAGGAGGCTGAAGGAGGGAGGGTGTAACAGACAGGAACAAAAGCTTACATTTGAGGAATCACCGAAGAAGCATGAACACAGGATTTGGGTTTGAAGCTGTAGGGAGGAGGGAACTGCTGTCTCCTGTGCCAAAATCATGTGGGAAACTTGAGGGAATGTGATGGAAGAAGGCAATAGCAGAAGGAGCAGAAGGAAGCTCTGATCCTTCATGTGTTCAGATCTACTGTCAGAATACTCATTAGTGGTAGTTCTCCCCAGCTCTGTAGAGACAAACTTCCACTGTCTACAAAAAGGAGTAAAGGAAGAGTCACTAACTTGCCAAGCTGGAGAAAATCTGATGGGGTCCAAAAGGAAACACAAAGGTCCTGCCTCTGGGTACAAATAACCTCATGCACCACTGCAGGCTGGGGGCAGACCAGCTGGAGAACAGCTGGGCAGGAAACAACCTTAGGGTTCCTGGTGGACACCAACCTGACCATGAGTCAGCAGAGTGCCCTCACAGCAAAGCAAGCCAAGTGTCCTGGGGTGAACTAGGCAGAGCATTGCCAGTAGGTGGAGGGAGGTGATCTTTCCCCTCTACTTAGTGCTGGTGAGGCATGTCTGGGTGCTATGTCCACGTCTGGGCTGACCAGTACAAGAGAGACTTGGACATCCTGGGATGACTCCAGTGAAAGGCCACAAAGGTGTTGAAGGGCCTGGAGCGTCTGTCACGCAAGGGGAGACTGACAGAACTGGCACTGTTCAGCCTGGAGAAAGCTTGGGGGCAGGGAGGGAGGGAGAATCTCATCCGTGTGTCTAAATACCTGATGGGGTGGGTAGGGAGCAGAGAAGACAGAGCCAGGCTCTTCTCAGTGATGCCCTGTGCCAGAAGAGGCAATGGGCACAAACTTGAACTACAGGAAAGTCCACTTAAATGTTTTAACTGTGAGGGTGGTGAAACACTGGAAATGGTTGTCTGGAAGGTTGTGGAGCCTCCATCCTTTAAAAAATGGCTCAGACCTGACTGGACATCGCCTTGCTTCAGCAGGGGTTTGTGCTACAGACTTCCAGGGTTGCCTACCAGTCTCAGTGGCTCTGTGGGGACCGGTGGCAGCCAGAAACTGCTGGGAAGAGCAGAGGCTGGCTTCGCCTGGTTACCAGATTAGTTTAAAGAGATGTTCTGCCATTTTTGTTCAGGTTTCCTCAAGGTGTTTTCCTTTGGCTTCCCCCCCGCCTCATTTTTTTCTGTAGTGTCATACTGTCTGAATTCAGACCTTGCCAGTTAAAAACGATTACGTATGTCGATGTTATGTGTGTTCTGTTTCCTTGGGTTGTGGAGAGATGAAATAGCAACCTAACAGGTTGTGACCAGAGTCCCTGCTACTTGCCCTGAAGCTCAAGATGTCTCTGAATTTGTAGCTGAGCTTCAGGCTTGCTGAAAAACCTTGCTCTTGAAGAGCAGAAATCCTGCCGAAACTGCTGTTAAATTCAAGGAAAAGCTGCTGCTCCCAGGTAGCACTTCTTATTTGTCATTATGTTTTGTATCACAGGTTTTGAACTGCTGTTAAGGTGGTAAGAGACTTCTGCAGCTGCTCGCCTTGCAAAGTTTTATTGCAGATCCTACTGTAGTAAAGTCGGGAAGTGCACAAGGGGCAGAGAGAGAGCACTACCTCATTAACCTCTTCAAAGTTGGGCATTTGATTCATCCATGACCTAAAGCCATGGTGAAAGCAGGTGGCTGGGAAAATCCAGGATGGATTTACCAAAGGCAAATCATGCCAGACTAACTTGATCACCTTCTATGACAAAATAACATCTTCTGTCAACAGGGGGAGAGCAGCGGATGTTGCTTACCTGGACCTTAGCAAAGCGTTCAACACCGTTTCCCACAGCCTTCTCCTGGACAAATTGGCAAGATATAGACTGGACGGGTGGTCTGCGAGACGGAAATTGTCTCACAGGCTGCACTCAGAGGGCGGCGATCAATGGTTTTTACTCAGGCTGGCTGCCTGTCACAAGTGGGGTCCCCCAGGGATCGATACTGGGCCCCATGTTGTTCAACATCTTCCTAAATGATCTGGACAATGGGACTGAAAGCACCCTCACCAAGTTTGCTGATGTCACTAAGCTGGCGGGTGAGGTGGACACGTCAGAAGGGAGAGCCATCTTTCAGAGAGACCTGGACAGGCTGGAAGAGCGGGCTAGCAAGAACTGTATGAAGCTCAACAAAGGCAAGTGCAAAGTCCTGCATCTGGGACAACGTAACCAAAGAGCCCAGCACAGGCTACGATCCGTGTGGCTGGGGAGCAGCCTTGCTGAGAGGGACCTGGGGGTCCTGGTAGACAACAAGCTGAACATGAGTCAAAGCGCTGCTGCAGCATCCAAGGCAAATTGGATAAGTTCTGGGTCCCACAGTTCAAGAAAGATGCAGACTGGAGAGGGTCCAAAGGAGGGCCACAAAGATTATGAAAGGGCTGGACAAACTGCCCCATGAGGAAAGACTGAAGGACTTAGGTCTTTTCACCGCAGAGAAAGCTCAGAGGAGACCTCCTCATATACTTCAAGGGCAGCTACAAAGAAGACAGAGGCTCTCTCTTTGCAAGGAGCCACATAAAGACAAGGGGCAACAGATACAAGTTGTACCTGGAGAGGTTTCACTTCAATACATTTTTTTACAGTGAGAACAACCTCTCCACAGACATGGTAGATTCCCCATCAATGGAGGTTTTCCAAGACATGACTGGACAGGGCACTAGATCATCTCATCTAGGCTCCCTTTCTCATGAAAGGTTGAACCAGATGATCTTTCAAGGTCCCTTCCAACCTGGGATGTTCTGTGATTCTAAGTCATGGTATGCCTGATTTGCACTTACAAACCCAGGACTGGAGAATGAAGCAGCAGAGGAACCACAAAGGAAGATTCAAGGAAGCAAGTGATGGAGAACAGCGCAGGAAAGTGTTTTTTGTAATTGGGGATTAGGCTATGCATTTCCTGGCTCTGACAAGGCCACGCATTCTCACTGACAGCTTGACAGTAATAACCAGCACTCCACCCACTTTTTTCACCCATTAATACAGCGGGGTATTATTAGTTGCACTGCTTCAGAGAAAGACTTATTAGCAGCCTATACAGTAGGACATCCTTGTAAGAACACAGGTCTCTTCCAGGACATGCTAATCTCAGTGCTTGGTGACCGTGACCAGAGTAAGTGCCTCTTAATCGCATGCAAACACCTGTTACCAAGATCCAAAAGAGAAGGCTAGATAGCGTTAGGAAATTATCATGTGTATTTCTCTTCTGCAGATTACCGTAAAATTCTCAGCCTTGCAAATATAGTATGTGCTAATATCATAAAGATGAGACCCCTTTTGCTCGACAGTGCCTGTTGATGACTTCTTTACAGTAAAGATTTGTAACGTGTGTGTGCGCAAGTTTTTAGTAAGCAGATTAAAGATGTCATATGAACCTGTTGATATGACTTCTTTAAAGATTTGTAACGTGTGTGTGCAAGTTTTTAGTAAGCAGATTAAAGATGTCATATGAAGCATATTTGACTGCCAGATGATATACAGATTTATCCCTATTTCCTCCATATCAATTTTTGCAGCTGACAGACTAAGATTAAATTGTAATTGGATTTGTGAATGGTACACTTTTTATTTTAGTGATGCTCAGGCTTAACAGGGCATATATGGCTATCTTCACTACTAATAGAAACAAACCTCTTGTTTAAAGTGAAACTGTAGGTCTTGAACATGGCCTCCATTAAGAAAAAAATACACCGATGTATCTAGTTCATCTTACATAAAATGGTACCCTCTTAAAATTTTATGAAACTAGCCAGCATTCTTATTTAACTCATGCTTAACTACTATTGCTAACCCTTTTTGCCTTTTTGGATTATGTAGTTGATTTGTCATTCAGAAGTAGTCTATTATTCTTCTTCCACCTGAACAGTTATGCAATGAAAGAGCTTAAATGGAAGCTTGGAGTAACTGCTTTGGCCAATTCTCATAGTCTGAGGCTTCTACTGCACACACGTGCTTCATGGCAAACTCTACCCTTGTCAGAGATCAGTATCCCCTCACCCTAGTACAAACCCTAAGTTCAAGGACAGCAATCTGATCCTTCTGTGCCCATAATCCACTGCCAGCAAGTCATGTGTTCTGCAACTCTTGATTTCCTAGAGTCCAGATTCCACATTCGGCATATTAGAAAATTGTTTCTAGACAGTCAGGTGGGGCCCCGACTTAAAAAGCCTTGCCATGCACACAGGAAGAGGGGAAAAAAACCCTTCCTAACTTCTAAGGTTGTCATAAAGCTTAATGTATTGAAGTTTTTATACTGGAAATAGAAGCACCTATCTCAAAAACTGAGGTGGATCCTGATTACTATTTTAAGAACAGAGCAGAACTCCCATCGCCCTTACCCGGTACTAGATCTGCACAAAGTACAGTCTGAATACATAAAGGCTACTGTAAAGTTTTTTTATCCTTGAGTAAAATTTCTAAGTCAAACCTTTTAATGGCTGGCTTACTCACACTCAGCCTTCAGTACTAATTTCAAGAGCAGAATACTTAAATACTTATAAAATCAGAGTATCTCGAGTTGGAAGGGACCCATAAGGATCGAATCCAACTCCCTGCTCCTCGCAGGACTACCTAAAACTAAACCATGTGACTAAGAGCGTCATCCAGACGCTCCTTGATCTCTGACAGGCTTGGTGCCATGACCACTTCCCTGGGGAGGCTGTTCCAGTGACTGACTCAATTGCACTTAATTCTGCCAAGAATCAGCTGAAGGCTTTATGTTTTACCAATCTTACACACAGTATCAAAAGCAACTGACATGATTCTTCATCTGGAAGCACTATCCTGTTAAGATTAAAAAAAACTACCACCACTGAACAGTACCAAGTGAGTTCTACATACAGCTCCTCAAGATTAGCTTAAGTTTAGTTCCTGTGGACACTGCTGAACCATCACACAGGATTTTGCCGTTACAGGTAAATCCTGCTTGTAGAAAAATCAACATGCACGCAGAACGTTATTATAAATTGGAACTTCTCACTAGAGACATGAATATATATTACAAGTTCTCAAAAGAGAACTGAACCAAGACCAAGGCCTGTAGTTTCAGTTTGGTCTGCATGATACAGTTGGTCTAGACTACTATTATTTTAAGATATGGGCAGTAACAATATGCACTGGAAAGTCTCATACTGAAAGTTAACCACAAAAAGGGTTTATTTTTAGTATCATGTACATCTTTACTTCTGACTTGACTCAGACTTAGATGTAGAAGCTCTCAATGAAGAAAGCCGGCGTCTCTTTGCAATCTGCTCCTGACGTTTCTCTTTGGCTTCCTGAAAAGCAAAGCAGCATGAAGTGAGTACTGAGATGTTACACATAATCAAGCACTTCAAAACATCTACAAAGGAACAAACTAGGGAAAAAATGTAACTTGAAGGAAGCTACCAGAAAGAATGGATTCCTTAAGTCAATAAAACAAAATACAGTTTCCCTTCTTCACAGATCAGGGGAATTCTACAAGTATCCAAACCTGTACAGACCCATGTCTTTAAACAATATGGACTAGTGTCCAAAATTACAGTAAAAATACTAATGCAGAGTCCACAACATACTAGAGGTCTATCTGTATCTACTCTCAGTTTCAGTCTGGAAGTCATGAAACACTCAAGTACCATGCCAAACATTCCAACAGTATTGCTTCAGCAGTCACTGCTGTTTCAGGTGCAAGAGCAAACTCATCCAAACAAATAGCTTCTTGCCAAGTTATCTTCCATCCAGGCCAACTGCTGGATCCTGTTTCTCCATGCAATCACTCAAACACTTGGGCATCTGAGTTAAACTAGAACTCATTTGAACTAAAATTGCTGCTGCAAAACTTACCTTCACGGGCTATGACTATTCATTGTTTTCTTCAAAATCAGCTCTCAGTTAAATTAATTGGTCTGGTTAATTTACACTATTCTAGGACTGGCAAAAATGGACAGAAATGCTCACAGAAACATTTGACCAGCAATGTTTATACTCACATTCAGGCATTCCCATTAAAAATGAGCTAGGCACAGAGCAGCTCTAAGTCTATAGTCAAGTTTACCAAATCCCTTGATGCTGGGCTATAAGGTATTCCATATAGCTGAGCTATAAGGGCAAACACACCTTCATTCTCTTGGCCAAGAGCTTTGCATATTCTGCTGCTTCCTCCTTATTCTTTTGAGTCCGCTGCTTCTTCAGAGCAATACGTCTGCGCTTATGTTGCAGAACTCGAGGAGTCACTAGTCGCTGGATCTTAGGAGCCTTGGTTCTGGGTTTCTTGCCTAAAAAAGCATTATGAATCAGCAGAAGTGGCAGATTATCTTCCAAAGAGGCCTCAGGCCTCATGTAGCAAACTTAAGAGTAAGTTCCATTTACTGTCGTGGTTAACATTTAGTGTACTACATAGTATAGCAACTTATACAGAGTTCGACCTCTTGACAGATTTTGCACGAAAAATATCAATTACTGTCAGGTGTAGCATTAACAAGATATTGTCTTAATGCTCATGATTTCTTATCAACAATGAAGTGTACGTAATGCATCTGTAACTCCCTGCATTTTTGTGAAAATTCCTAGCTTCTCAGCAGGTCTTAAATAATTCCCCCTAGACTTAAAATGTTTAAATATGGAAACTCATCATCTAGCTTTCAGAACACGCCATTATGTTTTCAGTGTTAAAAAGATCTCTACAATTCTACATAGGCTTGACATGTGTCTCTCCGAAAAACAGATCTACATAGCCCATAATGAGCAAACAAAACACCACCACACACATCTGTAAACTTCACTACTCAATCCTGCCCGACTTCAGTAGTCACAAGCAACAGTCTGATGTCCATCAGGATCGCGTTCTTTAATGGACAGAACAGTTCCTATGATGCAGAAAATAGCAGTCTTTCACCCAACAAGCTTTCACAGTGCCCAAGGTTTCTCATGTCCTTTCTGCTAAAAATCCTCACCCTTTCTGTTCCCTGATCAAATGCAAAGGAACCCAAAATTAAAATCTTACACTGCAAGAGACAGGTGGTAAGAAAAACAGTGCCCTCCCAATAAAAGCTCATTTTGGAGACTGCCATAAGCAATGGGGAAAAATCTTAGTATCTTCTCTATATACTGCTTCCCCCCCTTCATAAAAACATTTCAAAAACACATTCCACCTCATATTTAACCACCTTTTATTAACAATTATTTTTGGATTATTCTTAGAACCACTAGTAAATATTACTCCAGATTCTATCAAACATTTAAAAACAAATTGTGCCAAAGCAGATGGAAAGGGAAGAGAGGGGTAAAAGAAATAGGGCAACCAAGAAACTCCACTTCTTATCCGTTAAGTCACAGCTGACAAAGCTTAAATACCGTGACAGTCAACTCCTGGATCTACTACTATAGTGTGCAGTAGGCTGGACACCTCTTTGCTGATAATTACATGAAACCAAAGAGCTGTAAAATTTGAGTTCTTACCCTCTTTGTTCAGAGGCTTCCTCACAACATACTGGCGAACATCATCCTCCTTAGACAGGTTGAACAGCTTGCGGATTCTGCTAGCCCTCTTGGGCCCAAGACGACGGGGCACAGTCGTGTCTGTCAGCCCAGGAATATCCTTTTCACCTTTGACAACAGAAGTTTAAACATGCGAATTAATCCTGTATCTACCGAACACCTACTTCATTAGTGAATTTCAATTATGTTTAAAATACATAAAAATTCAAGACACTAGATAATCCTTGGGGTTCACCTGCCAATAGCACCACCCCAGCTACATTTTGCTGATTTAATGTTACCAGATTGCTGGCAGCAATGAAAGTGTTTCAGTGACCAGTTTTAAAATTACAAGAATGTAATGCTCAGAGGGAATTTCAAGACATATTCACACTCTGAAGTTGGGACTGCATTTGCATTCTACAGAACTTCGCAGCCACTAGCAAGCAGGCTCCTTCCAGGTGCCTACTTCTACCTATACTGCTTGCTTCATCCAGACTCTTACCCTTTTTCACTATGACCAAGTTCAGAACACTCAAGTTGGCATCAACGATGCAACCGCGAACAGATTTGCGTTTTCTCTCTCCGGTTCTTCTGGGGCGATAGCAGGAGTGGCCCTTGCTGAGCAGAAGGCGGACACGTCCATGAGTCAGGACACCTTGCTTCATGGGGAAGCCTTGTTTGTCATTGCCACCGCTGATCCGGACAACATAGCCCTATGAAAACACAGAAATACACTTCTTAGATGCTCACACGTCTTTATTACTTCAAGGAGAAGTGGTGGATACCACAACATACTGTTCAAAACAACAGAGCACTGTGCCCGTGATTCAGGAAAAGTGACTGTTACTGCCGATGCAATGAAATGCATTAATGCATTAATTAATGAATTAATGAAAATTAATTAATGAAAACCACTCCAACAGTTCAGGAGTTTTACTTAACAGATGTGAAAAATACCTCTGTGTACCAGAATTTACATTTATTCTACTTATCTTCAAATAGATATCCAAAAACTAAATTCCTATCCATTCAAAGTTTTGTTTAAGCTCCACCAGACTGAATATTGTCCATTATTGTCTAGCTTTTCTTTAATCCTAAACCCAACCAAAGCCTGTTATCATCACAAACTGGAAATGTGCATACAACACAAGAGCGTCTGGAGTAGGGATAAGTGGGTAAAAAGGAAAAGTAAAGCTTTTATTGCCTCCCTTGTGGAGGTGGCAGCAAAAAAGACCGACTTACCCAAATTCAGCTGGACTGTCCATACTAACACTCAACTATTCTAAGCCTGTCCACCAGGCCCAACATGCTTCTTTCCACGCACTAGCAGCAGTTTAAACACAATGAAGGCAATTTTCAGACAAAATTTCAGATTTGTCCTAAATACCAAGATGGCACTCAATAAAGAAGGGATCAGCAGTCTTACGGTACAGATTTAATTTGTCCTAAATACCAAGATGGCACTCAAATGAAGAAGAAAAAACTACTGCAAAGAGCAGCAAGAAACTCCAAACACAAGGCTTAAAAAAAAGCACTTAGGTAAATCAAAGTAGCAGAACAGGCTAGCCTGATCACCAAATTCAGTATATATAGCAAGAGAAGCTTTCAACATACCTACCAAATGTACACCATACAAGCACTCTAGTGTGACAACTGCATACTGGACAAATTTTGTAATTTAAGCTCCTCAAATACAGCTCCGACACATCCTTCTACACTTCTTACCTTCCACTCCTCACCGAGAGAATCAGCCGCGACCTCCGTGGCCATCCGTTTCTCATAGAATGTTCTCAGCTTGCGCTCATCATCCACTTCAATGAGTTTCTGGCAGCCAGTGGCTGGGAAAGAGATGTTCAGCTAACAAGAAGAGAAAAAGAAAAGAAAAGGATTTGGTTGAAACTTCTCATGAGACATTTGAAAAAGAAAAGAAATTGATTTGGTTGAAACTTCTCATGAGACATTTTAACAGAAAATCAGCACTTACCTGCTGGTTTCATCTTAGCATTTCAAAGCTGAAATTCCCCATCTGCTTACATGAATGCTTACTAGCTGTAACTCGTCACTACCGTGCTCAAGAGAGCCAGGCAGGCCTGTCCTTGGCCACACTGGGCTCTATTACTCGTTCAGTTACACAGAAAATCGGCTTTACCATAGCTGGAGCTTGATCACCTTCAAACAGACCCCAATCAAGCAAGTCAAGGTGAGGGCAGCAGAAACCTGTTCTTTTTCTGCAAGCCCTTCACAGCACACGTTGTATTAGAAAACTGCATAAGCGACCTAAGGGAAGCGACGCTTCTCGTTGGGGATTTACTTGTGGTTCTTGGGGGCCAGCGCAAAGCCCAGAGCCTCGGGGACGCGTCCCGGCACTTCCCCCTCGAGCACGGCCTGATATCAGCACAGACCCAGCGCACACGGTTCCTCCCTGCTAGGCCCCGCTACCGACAACGCAGGCCTCGCATTCGCAAAAGCCCTTCTAAGCCGAGGAACGACCGCTACCGGAACCCGGAGCTCCACGGCCTGGTGGCAGGATAGGCCTGAGAGAACGGG